CTGGGGCCAGCTCAGGGGCTGGCCCCAGCCTACCCTACCTTATCTGTGGCAATTTGCTGTGTGCCAGAGCACACCCTCAGGGGCATGCGGGGACTAGCATCAGCAAAAGTGTGCCACTTCTATTTGTCCTCCAGGGAAATGTATGTTCCCACTCATAGGGATATGCCCAAGGGAGCCCAAGCTTGATATCTCCTAGAGGATGCCTTCACCCTGGGCAGACCTGTATGTGAAACTAACTAAATCAGCTGTAGCTTCTGGCCCAAAGTGCTTGTTATTGTTATTTCTCTGGAAGTAGCCTGATACTGTATTGCTAGTTCCTAGGTCACATTCACTGGAAGTGTGGAAGCTTTTGCCCTTTGCACTGAACTCAGTAACCCCAAGAATACTTTAAATGTTGAAGAAATTTTGGCAAGAATTGTTAGAAATCTGGTTAATTTAGCATTCTTTCCTCTAGTTACCAGAGGAACCTCTATTCCCCCTCCCCAATAGGACAATAGAGCAGGCATATACAAGCACTCTACCTTATATTCATATTGCAATGGGTGATACAGCCTCATTCTGAGATAAGCCATGAGAGGGATCCATACTGTGAAAAGGTGAATAACATATATGCAACATCCTGTATTACATCATAAGACGGGCTAAAGAGTCTACAGGTGACTATGATACAGCTCTCAGGCACTGACCCTAGATTTAACTCTCAGGCACCAAGAAGTTAGAAACAGGGATGTTCACATTGCCAGTCTGTTTTACATGGATAGCACCCAGATGCCACAGGTGTAGGCAGTAGTCACAAGCCCCAATGTAAACGGGCAGCTATATCTCTACCAATGTGTGAGCTGTATGACAAATGAGTATTAAAGTGAGATCTAGGCATCTGAGTTTGCAATTTTAACTCTGCTAAAAGAACATCAGGCTGTCAGTGCTCATTAGGCAAGGTACCTAATAAACCATAAGTGCTATACAAAATGCACAGGCTTTGGAGCACTATTGGAAGGAAAGCAGCAGGCAGGAAAAAAAGATCCATGAGCACTGAATAAAGACTCCTGGGAAGTCCACCTCTAACTATGGACTCTGGTCAAACTTTTTAACACACTCCTGATACTCGTGGTGGAAAGCAACAGAAGCCAGTGCTTATCTTGCATTGTTGCAAAAAAGAAAAGCGCAGAAGTACATTTCAAAGTTGTCAATAAACAAAATATATTCCTTTTACTCTGGGCAACAGTCCTAGTGTTATTCTGATTTCAGCCAGAACCTGCACAGAATTCAGGAGGGGATAAAGATAACCTTTGCTCTTCACTGCCTGGGTTTTGCTTCCTGGAAGGTGTAACACTGAATCAGATTCTTTGCTTTTTTTAGATATCCTTAGAGCTTTGCACAACAGTGATATGATATAAACTTAACCAATATCCCCCATAGTTTTGACAGGACATGGGTATGATTTACCTGCCTCCTATCACCTTGAAACTGGAAGCAAAATCCTGCTCCCTGTGAAGTCAGTGGAGATTTTATCACTGATTTCAGAAGAGCTAGGAGGATGACTAAGTAATTTGAACAAATCATGAGGAAGTGGTATCTAATTGTCTGTCTGTTCTGATTCCCCCATATGAAGTAGGCATGTTTTGTAATTGGATCCATACCAGGGAATAGTTGCATTCATGCAGAGCTCTACTGATTTCAAATAGGGATGTATATGGGCAGAGGGGTCTACCCACAAAACTCAATTGCAGGATCAAACCAGAATTTGGTCTCACTTATTCCCCCCCATTTCTCGCAACTACATCTCAATAGGCGACATGTTGTAGGAGTATACTTTTAGGGAAAAATATTTCCAGGATAAAAGGTAACATAGCATGTATATCTACACCCAGAATGAAGTAAATACATATTCTTGAATCAGAAGTCATATTTTTGTACTTGCATTAGATATTGGTACACACAATTGCTAAAAAAAACCCCAACCTAATAGGAGTGAAAAGCTGAATATTACAGGCTTGACTATCACAAGTGCCTCTTCGTTCCTGTATTATTGGCCCCATAAGCAGCCAAGGTTGGGCACTTTGACTGGGGTGTGCCAGTGCTCCTGCTGAGACTTAAAGCCAGAGGCTCTTGCCCCCCTGCTCAGTCTCAGACCAATCACCATATTTGGGGTCAGGAAGAAATTTACCCCATGGTCAGACTGGCACAGACTCTGTGTTTTTTGCCTTCCTCTGCAAAGGGGGCAAGTACCTGGGAGCTCTTGAATATATATTAACAATATTTGACAGAAGCAGGACATTGACTCTCTGCTTCCTGTGGCAGGTGAGGGTGTTATTTCTCGTGTTGTGTCCGGGTTGAGGGTAGTCTTCGATGAGGGGCACTATGGCATGATCGGGCAGGGGCGGACCAGTGACCCCCGGCCGCTCCCCGCAGAGCTGCGGGGCACGGCACGCCTGGCGCTCGCGGGGCTTGCAGGGAGGCCCCTAGGACAGCGCTTCTCGCGGGAAACAGCCTTCGCCATGTCCCGATTCGGGCCAGAAGAAATGAAGAAAAAAAAAGACGCTTTAGAAAGACTGAATCTATAAATGATTACTAGATGCAGCCAGCCTGAATTCAGAGATTCTCCCCCTATTTTGTAACTGATGATGGCCCGCGCCTGCTCACAACGACCCCCTGATCCGCCCCTCCCCGACCTGTTTACTGTTTGGTTTCCAGGGCACCGCGCAGGGCACGTCAGCGACGTGACGCTCCATTCCCCGCAGAGACGCTACGAGCCAACGCAATGACGTAGGCGCTTCCGGCGCTGCCCATATATGGGAGGCGGTGGCGCGCTCTTAACGCTTTTTCCTCCCTCCCTCCTTGCCCAAGCTCGGAAGGTTCCAGAATGCAGCTGCGCGCGTAAGGGGCGCGTTGCCGCTCCGCCCGCCGTGGGCTGTGTCTTTTCCAAGCGGTAGAGACGAAGGGGGTTGGCGCTCCGCGCATGCGCTCTGCGCCCGGGGCTGTGAGGGGCTCTGGAAGGGGTGGTTTCCTTGTATCCAACCGTTCCTGGCAGGCCTGGTTTCCCAGAGCAGGCCCCGGCCTCTCACAGGCAGCCTGCGTGGTGGTGCTTTGCAAGCCACCCGGCAC